GAGGCAGCGTACTTGGACTCCTTGACGGTCATGGGAGCAGGGCGAGAGATGTCACCGACGATGATCGGGGGACGGACGCAGCGAGATCCGTAAGACTGGACCCAACCCTTGGTGGTGAAGACATAACCGTCAAGGCGCTCACCAAAGTATTGCACCATGTCGTTGCGCTCAGGCTCACCGTGGACGTAGACGTCAAGGCCAAGCTCATCCTGGATCTTGACAACCTCCTCGATCTCCTTCTCAATGAACTTCTCGTACTCCTCGGCAGTGATCTCACCCTTGGTGAACTTGTTACGTGAGATACGGATCTCCTTGGTCTGGGGGAAAGATCCGATGGTGGTGGTGGGGAAGGTGGGGAGGCTGAGGTGCTTCTTCTGCTGAGCGTAACGCTCGGGGAAGGCAGACTTGCGCTCGTGCTGTTCGGGAGTAACGCTAGCCTGGCGGTCCTTGACAGCCTTGTTGTTGGTGCGCTCAGATGAGGCGCGAGCCTGCATCGACTTGGCGTTGGCCTCGAGAGCCTCGCGGACAGCAGCCGGGCCGTCGTTGACAGCCTTGGCAATGATGACGACCTCAGAGACCTTCTGGACGGCGAAGGAGAACCAGTCCTTGACCTCCTCGGGCAGCTTCTTCTCGCTGTCGAGAGAGTGGGGAGTGTGGAGGAGAGAGCTGGAGGTGGCAACGAGGACACGGTCCTTGCCGAGCTTCTGGACAGCAGTCTCAACAAGCTCGATGGCACGCTTGAAGTTGGTCTTCCAGATGTTACGGCCGTCAACGACACCGACGGAGAGAACCTGGTTGGAGCCAAGCTTGCTAGCGACGCTCTCGAGCTGCTCAGGGTTCCTGACAAGGTCGATGTGGATACCAGCAACGCCCTGGAGGCTGGGGAAGACGTCGAAGTTGTGGACAATGTCACCGAAGTAGGTGGCGAGGACAAGCTTGGGCAGGCTGTCGCTGACAAGCTTCTCGTATGCGGGCTTGAAAGCGTCCTTGACCTTCTGTGGCAGGTCGTAGACGAGGACAGGCTCGTCAATCTGGACGTACTCGGCACCAGCCTCCTTCAGCTTCTGGAGGAGCTCAACGTATACTGGCAACAACTTCTCGAGGAGAGAGATGGGGTCGACGGACTGGCCACGGTCGGCCTTACCGAGAGCGAGGAAGGAGACGGGTCCGATGAGGACGGGGCGGGTGGTGATGCCAGCCTCCTTAGCCTCGAGGAACTCAGCAACAGGCTTGGGGTTCTCGGCGAGCTGGAAGGTCTGGTTGTCCTGAAGTGTGGGCTTGACGTAGTGGTAGTTTGAGTCAAACCACTTGACCATCTCCTGCAGTGGGGTTAGATCGTCTTCACAAGTCTTAGACTGGCAGAGCTTACGAGAGAGGGAACATCGACACCGTCCTTCTGGTGGCCACGGCCCATGGCAAAGTACTCATCGAGCTTGTGCAGCGAGTGCTTGGAGTAGCGCTCTGGGATAGCCTAAGTGCCGTTAGTGGGAGCGGGTAACAGTCAAGTGACGTGTGCTTACGTTGAAGAGCTGAATGTGGTCGAGAAGGTGGTCGTAGAAAGCGAAGTCGTTGCTGGGAATGACATCGACACCGGCGTCCTTCTGGATCTTCCAGTGCTCCAATCGCAGACGCTTTCCCTCCTTGATCAGATCATCGCGGGAAAGCTTGTCAGCCCAGTAGGCCTCGTTGGCCTTCTTGAGCTCACGGTCCGCACCCATACGGGGGAAACCGAGTACTGATGAGTTTACCATTGTGATGTGATAGTCCGATGCGGACAACTGTGATGGATTTGGGGGAAGGAAGGGTAGGTTCTGATGAGAGGGAGGTGAGAGGGAGGAGGGGGAGGAAAAGGTGGGATGTAGGAAGAAGAACAATAGCGGATGGTGTGCTTTATGTTTTTTGCTGGCGTATGCAGCAGCGTCGCGGGGTTGTCGTCTAGCTCGCTCCGATTCGACGACGCCTTCACCGCCTGCAACCTTATTCTGCAACGGCGAGAACAATCCGCCCGTTTTTCAGGGCTTCCCAAAGTTAACATCGTTTGGAGCGCGTATCTCTTTCTACTTTAGCGCTCCTATGCCCACAACCAACTGCGACTAGCTCTGGGTGGTGCTAAGTTTTGCCCAAACCGACATCGGGGAGGGGCTGCTCGGAGTCTTGGCGACTATGAGCTTGCGCAACATCATCCACGTCCGGTGGGTTCTCGGATGATTTCGTAGCACAAAGATGCTGCGATAAGCACGCCCAAGTGCGATCCCTTCTAGGCCAGGCTTTTAAGTTCTGGCAGTTTCTGCTCTGGTGGGCTCGACTGCACTCCTTCGCGTCGTCGATGACAGCATGAATCAGCTTGCGCGCCATAGCTCCTAGCGGAATCTGCATCTCAACAGGCATCTTCTGGGTTAGCTCAGACCCTGAAGATCATCAACCTTCTGGACAATGCCATCGCCTCAGTAATGAACAACTCCAAAGCAGTCTGCTGAGTCAGGTGCCATCGGCGCTGGACAGCGCTTTTTTCACGACAGTCGGTCAATGTCCGAGCAAAGGGTTCACGATGATGCGGCGGAACCACCGAGTACTTGCCCTATTTAGCTGTCTCCACAACCCCGCATCATGTATAAAACCCCGCCAACAACCAACAAAGTACGCGACTGCGAGTGCAGCATCTCTCCAAGCCACTTGAATAGACACGGATAATCTCCCTCACATCATTCAACATGGCCTCAAGACCCACTCACACCCGGACTGCCTCGACAAACCTGGCCAGCGGCTCAGGCCAGCGCATCTTGGAGGGAAGGACCGCCATTGTGACGGGAGCATCTAGGGGTACTGAACGGAGCACTCCCTGACCCCGTGTCCTGCTGACACTCTCAGGAATCGGTGTCGAAATTGCCCGCAACCTCGCCAGCAAAGGCTGCAACGTGGTCATCAATTACACGTCCGACTCGTCGACCCAAACCGCCGAAGACCTCGCCTCCGAACTCTCAGCCGAACATGGCGTCAAAGCCATCAGCGTACAAGCAAGCATGGGCTCTGAGAACGGACCCAAGCATCTTGTTGAGGTCACCAAGAACAACTTCCAACACCCCAAGACGGGCAAGTTCCAGTTGGACATTATCATCAACAACGCGGGAGTCGCAGGCAACAACTACGTCGAGAACGTCGACTGCGAAGACTTTGCCAGACAGTTCAACATCAACGTACGGGGTCCACTGCTCCTCCTGCAAGCCGCCGTCCCCTATCTACCCCACGACCGCTCCGGCCGCATTGTTAACCTCTCCTCCGTCAGCTCGTCGCTGGGATACAAAGGTCAGTCCATCTACGGCGGAACAAAAGCAGCGCTCGAGAGCATGACAAGGACATGGGCTCGCGAATTAGCAGAGCGCTGCACTGTCAACGCCATCAACCCAGGTCCCGTTGCAACCGACATGTACTGGAGCAACGACGACGCTTTCATTGCTCAGAATAAGCCTTTCATAGAAAACACACCCCTTGCTGCACCACGGAAGGGCATCGACCCGGACAAGATCTACGAAGCGAGCCAAAACGCTGGTGGACGGCCAGGCTACAGTGAGGAGATTGGTGGGATTGTTGGTATGCTTTGCTTGCCTGAAGCGGGTTGGACCACCGGTAGCGTTATCTGCGCAAATGGTGGCATGAAATTCAGCTTCTAATTGTTTGATACCACAAAACGAATGAAACGATCAAGGAAGGGCAACAGGCATGACTCTGCTCATCTTCAGAACATTCAACTTGATATATGTGACCTTTGATTCTTTGTATTGTTCAGCCTCGCCGAATAGTTACAGCATCTATATATTGTTCGTAATTCGGCTGTTAGTCATCAAAGCGGGCTCGGTGGTGTAGTTGGTTATCACGTCAGTCTAACAACAACAGTTGTTTCTTGGACACTGAAGGTCCCGAGTTCAAACCTCGGCTGAGTCATCTGCAACATGTGCTACACGTCGTGTAGTAACTTGCTTTTTGTTGGTAGGGAGGGCTTGGTTGGGTCGAAATTTTTGGACACGGAGCGTGAAGTGCGGATGCGCTAAGTCTGGAAAGGATTTAGCGGCCCCGCTAATCGCGAGGCGGGCTTTTCCAAGGGGCGTTTCCTACTCTTCGACTCTGACGTCGCACTGTATATATTGCCGTCACCCGGTCGCTTCTTCATCACTACCGGGAACGTATCCTACGCAAGCTACATATCTTGTCGCGTCACTCTCTTGTAAAGATCGTTGATGCACGCACCTGGATTCCGGAGTGGATACGCTGTCGCGATCGCGTCCGACGCGTCTCAACCAGAAAGACCATCAAGACATTGGCCGTTGGCTACTCATTGCAGTTACTTATCGCACCTACTGAACGTATCATCGCATCGTCGCGTGCGGGGTTCATCGCCTGTTCTGCCAAATCACTATCCTTCAACAAACCCATTAACGGGCGTAACACATCCGCGGTCTAAGATCGCGTTTGTGGGTTCAGCAGCCAGGGCTGTCCCTTCATCTTCTGATGGATGGCTGCTGAACAAAGGCAACGCCCAAGAGTAATGCCTCTTCGTCCTGGCGAGTCCGAGCTGCTCTGCAGCAAGACCTGTCGGTGGCTTTGAGGTAACGAGCCTATCTGGCGGCTTTGCCCTGCTGCTGCATCCTCTTTGTTCCTGCTCCCCGAGCAGTTGAGCATCGGCGGGCGCACGGCATAGGTGGGATCGACGTTTCGTTTCAGCTCGCACATATCTCTTTATTTCTCTCCATCTTCCAATAGTGTGTCCCATTTTGCGATCTCACACGTCTCTGTCTTTTTGCCTAGAAGTAGCTGTTGTATGTTACACCACCTCCATGTGTGATTCCTGGTATATCTCGCGCTTGCTAGTTGCTGAACATGATTGGCCTTTGCTGACCTGAACGTCATCCGCCGATCTACCCCCGCTTCGCCAGGCTAGGCAGCCATCTTGGACAAGAACACCTGGGATGACATTGACAGCCTCTACTCAATTACACATCTTCAATATGCCTTGTTATTCACGCAAAGACTTCATGAGAGAGTTCGTCTTTCCTGATGAACCGGCACAAGACTTTGAACGTGCTGGCATCGCGGCTCAGTATGCATCAGGCCACCCAAAGGATTGGTCACAAACCGACGACATCCTCGACTTCAGTGCTGATCTGAGAGAAGACCCCGAGAATATATACAGAAGTTACTACACTGATCTCAGTTCCGACAGGAAGTTGTTGGCTATCAGTACGGATGCAGGGCGCATTCTCATATACGACCTCGCATCCCGAGAGCTGTGCGAGGTCCTTGAAGGGTCGGGATCTGTGACATTCCGGCCTTCTAACACCAACGAAGAAAGCGTTGCAGATGTTGACCAAGGCATGGGTATAGGGACTCCGAGACCGGGTTATACCCTCGTCAGCTCCATTCCGCACGAGGCTCATCGCCGCGCTCGTAGTACCAACCAGCTTATTCTTTGGGATCTGGATCAAAATGGCCGAATACTCGACAAAGAAGAGCCCATTGATCCCACCGTACTCGCTACTAAAGCCATCGATGCAATCGCCCCAGATCTCGCCGCGAGTCACGAATGGACTAGGGAGTTTATCGATGCGTCAACACTCCGTTCTGACTTTATGAAATCGCTCAATCAGGCAGCCGCAGATCATCGCAGGCGTCATAACACCATCATTGACAATGCGACGCTTGGGAATTTTGGGTCTGTAAGCTTCAGTGCTGATGGTAAACTGCTATTGTATCATTCAAAGAATGATTCTACCCAACAAGGTATGCGTGAACCAGACGATCTTCCAGTCGTTGCCATCTACGATTTGGAAGCAGGCATTGAGACCCACCGCCTCACTGGACATACGGATGCCATTATGTGGTCGGCTATCAGTCCGGACAAGGAATACGTTGCTTCGGTATCCTGGGATGGCACAATGCGCATGTACTCTGCCTCCACTGGAGCCTTAATGTGGGTCACAGAGAACTCTGGTGGACAGAGCTGGGCTGGCGCATTCTCGTAAGTAGCGTCCTTACAAACGACATACGAAACATATACTGACTCAAGACACCTGCCATCTAGACCAGACTCGAAGCTCATCGTGTGGAGTTCCAAAAACGGCCATGCAGTCCAAGTGCACGTTGTATCTGATGGACAGAAGACGGCAGCTATGCAAGAAAAGTTTTCCCACTGGTGCCGTAACCTCAAATGGCATCCAACAGAACCAAAGATCGCGCTTTGCGTGGATGAAGATGCGTACATCTGGGATCCCTCCGACGGCCCCAACGGCAAGGTTCTTCAGCATTTCAAAGTCAAAAGTGACAAGGGACTCACGCGCATATGGGGGATCCAAGATGTTCGGTGGATGGACGAAGGTCGGCTTTTGGGACTCGAGACGAGCGACGGTTCAGTCCTTGTCTACAACACGCATGATAACGCGAAGGAACTGTTCCGTCGGCCTGCTGGTACTATGGCCTGCTATGTACAAGGCGGCCTTTACGGAATCATCAAAGACCAGCAAGAGCATGATGTTTACGCCATTGTCTGCGGCGATGAGAAGGTGCGCTTCTTTCGGACAAGTGTTCCAGCTTTTCCGTCGTGGTGGGAGAAGGAACCACCATCAGCGGTGGTAGAAAAGAAATCATTCCCCGAGACGGGAAAGTATGTCAAAATCACCAAAAATTCGAAAAAAGTACTATCATAGGAGGAATCCGAAAGAAAAAGTTGGACTGGGAGGAGTGCGATATCGTGGACTGCTGAGTAAAGTCGTCCAGTAGAAGTAGAGAGGCAGCCAGTTTTCGGCCTTCGCTGATCTGGGGGAAATGTCATTCTGTCAGCCGCGATAACAGTTTCACTCTAGGTCGAGGTACACTACCCCACCTTACCGGCCTTTGCTTTTTCGTCCCCAGTTTAGCGAGCATTACCAATATTTTTCCACAAGCCAGTAACAACATAGAGCATTTCAAGACTTCGCGATATCCAACACTTACTACACGGCTGCAGCACCTTGCATACCCAAGATGGGGGTGGCCGGTAGCGGGTCTTGGTCTTACTTAATATCTATGGCTGTAGTGTCTGCGGATATCGGCACCGGAACGGTACAGTCCTGCTTGTCTCCCGTGACTACTCAACATCACGAGCAGCTGACACACTACTTCCCGCACACTGTCGCATGCGCCAACAATTACTTTCCGTTACCCTCGCCACTGTTCCACATAAGTCGGATCATCGGATTACGCAATCCGAATCCTGTGCTCATATTGACGATGCATCGATCGTTGTGTTTTGAACATGTTGGGGCATGACTATTGCCTCACGGCTGGCTAAAGGCGTTGCGGTCCGGACAACCGTCTCCGCGCTTACATAGTACCATTTCAGGCTGAACCCCACACCGCCATTCGCTTAGCCCCACGCGGTGCGGCTTATTGTGCTTTGTACCTTATATGAACCATTAAGAAACAGATGACTGTCTTGCGAAAATCCCTCGTCATCCTTTTCAAGATTTGCACGCTGGTCGGACTTTCGTTTTCAAGGTCATCTTAAGCTTGCGTTCCTGCTGCATCTTCTCATAGGAGTATCTACTACCTTCGTTTGCCTTGCTAGCCGTCTCGTCAACGAACATCGAGTTTGATACTCGCGTTGTAGACTAAATCGGCAGAAACGCTAAGACTTTGTGCCAGTCACGCGTTTTGCTCCTGCATCGGTCTTGCGTTGAATTGACTTCTGCAGTGTCACTAAACATAGTAAGCTTCGCCCTTTAAGCCATGTCGGCCCTTGCGTCTCTGTATAACCAACCATCCCATCGCGGTATAAAAGTTTCCCGCGGAGTTCACAGGTACAATCCTTGTCTATACTTCAACCATGATACAACCAACCCAAGATGGCGAGCGATATGAGCTCACAAGCCCAACCGAGATGCCCAAAGCTGGTGCGTTCCTGTGGAATCAACGTATGATGATTCAGGTCACATGTCGTGGCTTTGCAACTGCGCAGTACATGCAACCCGAGCCTGCCAAATACGCCTATGCACCCAATCTCGAAGCCAAGACCTTTATGCAGCCGGAGCAAAACTACTATGCTCATCATCCCGGCCGATTCGTATACATCAAGGATGAAGAGAATGGCGACATCTTCTCAGCGCCGTACGAACCGGTAAGGGCAAAACTGGATCGTTTTACCTTTGATATAGGCAAGAGCGACATCAAATGGACTGTGGAGAAGCTCGGCATTCGCGTTGAGATGACATTTCTGCTCCCAACAGACGATGTGGCTGAGCTTTGGAACATCAAAGTCACTAACATATCCGATCGTAAGCGGAATCTAAGTGTCTACCCATACTTTCCCCTAGGCTACATGTCATGGATGAACCAAGAAGCGGAGTGGAATGCCAATGTTGGTGGCGTGGTTGGAAGCTGTAAGACCCCATACCAAAAAGCAGAAGACTATCCAAAGACAAAGTACCTCAAAGACAAGACCTACTTTCTCTGCGAAACCACACCAGTCTCATGGGAAGCAAAGCAAGAGGCTTTCGAGGGGGAAGGTGGATTACAAGCACCATCGGCATTACAAAATTCGCAACTTTCGAATAGCGATGCCCGTTACGAGACTCCGACTGCAGTTGTGCAATACTGGGCCGACCTGAAAGAGAACGAGAGCAAAGAGTATAGATTTCTCTTCGGTCCCGCATACGACGAAGCGGAAATCTTGGACATGCGCAAGAGATATCTCAACAAAATGGCGTTCGCGAAAGCAGCCAAGGATTACGAGGACTACATTATGAGAGGCAGCGGTTGCGTGCGTCTCGAGACTCCTGACAAAGATCTCGATAATATGGTCAACAACTGGCTACCACGGCAATTGTACTACCATGGCGACGTGAACAGACTTACAACCGATCCCCAGACACGAAACTACCTACAAGACAATATGGGTATGAGTTTCATCAAGCCAGAAGTGGCCAGGAAGGCTATCACGACTGCAGTAGGTCAACAAGAGAAGAATGGTTCAATGCCAGATGGTATCCTGCTAGCGAAGGGTGCGGTGCTCAAGTACATCAACCAGATCCCTCACACTGACCACTGTGTCTGGCTGCCTATCGCCCTTGAAATCTACCTTGCCGAAACTGGTGACTACGCACTACTAGACGAGAAGGTGACCAGCATGTATGGCGATACATTCACTGTTTTCGAGCGCTTCAGCCGCTCAATGGACTGGCTTCTCTCGTCAAATGCACGAGATGATCGCGGCCTCTCGTACATTGCGCAGGGTGACTGGTGCGATCCCATGAACATGGTCGGTCCCAAAGGTGTCGGCGTATCAGGCTGGCTCACAGTTGCAACAGCCTACGCCGTCAACTTGTGGGCGCAGATCTGCGAAGACGCCAACAAACCGGATATCGCAAAGAAATACCGCACCGGCGCCGAACAGGTCAACGAATCGGCGAATGAGCACCTCTGGGACGGCGACTGGTACGCCCGTGGTATCACAGATGACAACGTTACGTTCGGCATCAAAGACGACAAGGAGGGTCGCATTTGGCTGAACCCGCAGGCCTGGTCTATTCTTGGGGGCGCGGCTTCTTCGGAGCAGATAGCAAAAATGCTTCCCCAGGTTGACGAGCAACTCACAACACCCTACGGAGTAGTCATGTTCGGTCCGCCGTTTACAGCAATGCGCGAAGATGTCGGCCGCGTCACGCAAAAGTACCCTGGTCAGGGTGAGAACGGGTCAGTGTACAACCACGCGGCTGCTTTCTACGCGTGGGCGCTCTACGGTATCGATGAAGTCGATCGCGCGTACAACACTCTCCGCGCTATGATTCCTGGTCCTGATAAGGAAGATCTGATTCGTCGTGGTCAGCTCCCAATCTTCATTCCCAACTACTATCGTGGTGGTCATGGAATTGAGCATTTGGACCGTACAGCGGGACGTTCAAGTCAACTGTTCAACACTGGAACTGTGAGTTGGGCGTACAGATGTTTCATCGAAGGGTTGTGCGGCTTGAGGGGCGTAAGGGAGGGTCTGAAGATCGCGCCAAAGATGCCGAGTGCATGGGACGGCATGAAGGTGAGGAGAGAGTTCAGAGGCGCGGTGTTTGATGTCCAGATCAAGCGAGGAGATGTGAAAGATGCGAAGGTTGTGGTTGACGGGCAGGAAGTGGAGGGGAATGTCATCAAGAACGTCAGCGCTGGAAGGACGTACAAGGTGCTTGTGGAGGTACCGAGGGCAAAGAAGACGGGTACGAACGGAACGATGTCCAATGGTACGAAGACGAATGGGGTCGGTGCTAATGGGACAAAGTAGACGGAATATGAATAATCTCGCGAATTTGTAAATCCAATGTCTCATCATGCTGCCATCATTTACGACTAGAAGAATCAGCCGCAAGGCGAGCGTAACCGTCTGCACGCGGCGTTCGTAATTGGCAAATCCACTCACGTCAGCCACGCGCAAAGAACATAGTCATGCTATTACTCCACGCGCACGCTGCGACTTCCTCTACACCAATGCCCTTGATGCCAGCCACAACCAAAGCCACCTTCTCCATATTGCAACTCTCATTCCTCTCTTTCACCATGTCACCCCTAGTAAACTTGTCCTTCTTCTTGTTTCCCCAAGGCCACTTGGACGCATTCTTCAGATACGCTTTAGCCACTTCGCTAGACGCTTGAATATCGCCCCACGGTGCGTCTGTCTCGATCTGCAAGTTGGGTAGTGGTAAATATCTGATCATTTCCAAGCTGTCGCGGTCTCGGAAGGCAAAGTTGTTGACGCTAACCTGTAAGCCCATCGCGACCAGTTTCTGCATCTGCTCTGTAGTTCCGACGAACGAGTGAACTAAGCCAGATCGCAAAGGCAATCGGTCCATATATGGTTCAAGTATGGAAATGAAATCATCGAACGCGGCGCGACAGTGGAGAAACAGAGGCAGCTCCCACCCTGCGTTCACGATCATATCGAGCTGTCGCTTGAACACGCGTATCTGAACGTCTTTGGGTGCTTCGCCCAATTTGTCGTAGTCTAAGCCGAGCTCCCCGAAAGCGGCCAGCAAATGCGAGTCTTCTTTGTCGTTGAGGGTCGTTGTGATACTGTGGGACAGGTCCTGATAGTATTCCTCGCCACCTTCATCTGCTTCAACGGCATGGTACGGATGCACGCCCATAGTAACCTTGACTTGCTCTGGTCGACGCCGGGCCATTGCGAGATTGAGTTGCGCATCGGAAGCGTACATGCCTGTAAGCATGACTATCTCTACCCCTGCGGCCAATGCGCGATCTAGCACTGCGTCGAAGTCGGCTTCGTGGTATTGTTTGCCCCGATATACACCAGAGAACTCTTTGGCAGTTCCTGTTACAGCAACCTGAGCACCCCCACGATTGTTCTCAGCCAAGTCGCGTCATCATGGGGAAGGGTATGCGCGTACGTCTGCGTATCGGAGCTTTATGGATGGTGCAGCGGGGGCATCTTTGGAGAAGCCCTCTAATAATAACGGTTGCGACATTGTGGTTTGAGATGAAAGGACATGACACGTTGAATGCTGAGATGATGTATTTCTTGAGGTGGATCGCCATCGGAAAGGAGACTTCCGATCTCGGAATCTAAAAGTGGATCACTTCTCTCGGCCTCACGTCACGGCTTATACAGATTTACACCTGGTCTAGTTTAGCCAAGTCTAACTTGACCTGGAGTAGACAAAGTTACCAGAAGCTTTTGTAGTTGATAGCGATTTGTCTTAGGTCTAGTATAGCAAGACATTCAATAATCCCAGAGTATTCTGCATCTAGTATTATAGACAGGCATATTGTTTAACAGACAAGAATGAATGTAAGTGCTGCGGCTGTCCATAACCTATTGTGGCGCTTCTCTCGGCCTGCCAATGTTGTGTGCGAATACGAACTAAAAGAATTGAGGTAAACCTACGTTTCTGCAACCTTGCAAAGTCTACACAGAACGTATGGCAGTCTGAGATAAAATCATGCGCACACATCTCTGCTACGTTGGGTGCATCATACATCCAAAGTTGTGCAGCCTCGTCACGCTAGCCGACCGTCTAGGCCAGCCTCGCTCGACTCTGGGCTCTACCTTCAGCTCTGTCCGTCTGTCGTGGCTGAATGAACATGGTTCGGGCGAATATAAGAAACTCTTTTCTGTACCTAGGGAACGACCGGCGCACCTTCAACTCACATAAAACTTTTTTGGATCACTCAGTGAGCCACCTGCGAAGCTATTCCTTTCGTTGAGATCACTTTTATTTCTGGTCGCAGCGCTGTCCACACGACTGGCACAGTCATACTGCCCATAGTTCCCCCCACTTCGCTCTTCGTGCCCTCCAACGATGGAAGGTTTGGTGTGGAGCTTGGTCGAAGCGGTGGGTGGTGAGCTGGTCTCGCAGATCGCCGAGGGTCTGGTCAACGGCATGGAACCCGAGTTTCTGAAGACCAACGAAGACAAGTTGATGGAAGAGCTGAAGGTGCTACAGACCAAAATCGACGATTTGGGCAAGTCGGCCATTGAAGCGATCCGGAAGCAAAAGATTACAAGCGCTGCGGATCGAGTGAGAAATTGCTTCAAACGGTTGAGGGAGGCGGCCAGGGAGACCACCTGGGACAGCCAGAGACTTGGTTCAAAGTGTGCAATAAGTGAAGCTGTGGTCTGTTTACCTAGGTCAAGTCCACGAAAGCATATGATGTATGAAAAAAGAGAGGTCATGGTCATAGGGCGAACGCGTAATACGCTTGGTGAAGGGAAAGGATAATAGTAAGGTTGATGTCACGCTCCAGGTGGTGCGGCGAATATAGGTACTTCTATACGAGTAAGAGGCTCATTAGACTTCGACGCGAATTCACAAGGGCCGGGAATTGCACTCGATCTCAGGTGCGGGGTACCGCCAGCGTTTGTCTCCTTCTGCTGCTGCGCCGCATATGCATCTCTCCTCTTGTATGTCTGATCGAGCACCAAGGTTCACCACCCCGCACTATCGTTAGTCAGGTCTGCGCCGACATGATTCCGATGAACACACAACAGGTCCATACTGCTTCGGGAACCGCCATAGGCAAGGCGCAAGCAGACCTGGAGGGGACGCCAACTGAGCCTCTTCTTCCGCCACAGGTCAGCGGATCCTACAAAGTCAATGAGCGAGTCATCGCAGGTATATCAGCCAAAGCGGTTCTTGATTTGAGACTGACCTCGATCCAGCATTCCCCATTCCCAAGACTCAAGCAATAGACGCCTACAACTATGGCAAATCGCTCTGGGGTAGAGCGGCCAAGATTGTTGTCCAGCTTCCCACCGGACAGACCGACAACTACTTCCTCAAGGTCTGACCCCTCGCTGAGGAGCTATTGAGTAACGAATACTGGTGCGACGAAGGTTGTATCTCTAGGAAGCATGGGAAGGCACATGTGCGAAGGTGAATACGAATCGCTCAAATCCGTCTATGCAGTCTCCCCGTCATTTGTTCCACAGCCATATGGTTGGGGCCAGATCGACGAAGGTTTAGCAGAGACGTACTTTCTGCTTGCGGCTTTTCGAGATGTGGGAGAACAGGTATGTGTAATTAGTTCCCTTGGAGTGACCGAAAGCTGATGTTCGAAGCCTGCAGACCCAGTCAACTTAGCTGCGGGTCTGGCAGACATGCATCAACGATCCGTCTCGCCAACCGGCAAATTCGGCTTTCACTTCTCCACGTGCCATGCGCGTATCGCTCAGGCTGTCGATACCTGGGAAGGTTCGTGGTGCACTCTGTATGGTCAGCACCTCGGCCATGTCATGGAGCTTGCTAAGCTAATTCTCCAATGGCCAGATTTCGATGTGGTTTGCGATCTCACACTCCAGAAAGTGGTACCACGTCTCCTGTTGCCTCTCCAAGCGGAAGGCCGAATCCTAAAACCATGCCTTCTCCACGGTGACTGTTGGGACGGAAACACAGCAATCGAAGCGAAGACAGGCGTGGCTTTCGTGTTCGACGTTTGCTCCTTCTATGGACACAATGAGTATGACATTGGCAATTGGAGAGCACCGCGCCACCGTCTGAGCAGTGAAGCATATATACGGAACTACAAGCAAAACTTCCCAGTATCTGAGCCTGTGGAAGACTGGGACGCCAGAACTTTGCTGTACTCGTTAACGTTCAACATCGGTAATACTATCTATATCCCAGGTTCACAGCAGCGCCAAATCGTGTTTGACGATATGCATATGCTGTGCCACCTCTTCTGCCCAGACGAGCTTAAAGCTGCAATGGACAAACTCAAAGGAGACTCTACTATCAGTGAGAGCTCGCAAACAGGCCATCCAACGATGCATTAGAATGACGGTTTTGTGGAGGCCGAGGCGCAGGGAAATGAAGAAGAGGAAGAGTGGCTGCTCTAGATGGAGTCTCGCCGCTCTATGCACGCCCCAATATTCGGGTTACTTGAGCAAGTAGATAGCTGACTGGAACCAGCATATGAAAGATGCCTATTTGATGCTGCTGTCGTGTGATTGATGAAAGCGATTGCGATAATTGAGGGCGCAACGAAGGTTCGGTGTGCGCGTCGCGTGTCGCGCGATGACGCTACCGGCTTTTAGTGCTGATTGAGCACGTCCCGCCTTTTCTTGGAGTTTTGCCATCCCGCCACGCTTGATCCGACACCATATGGCCAAAAGCCGCGACGGTCAACTTGAGCTATCATGGTGGCCCTTGTAAGTCGCTATCGCGTTCTCATGGGAGCCATCAGTGGCATTGTTTCTATTGGCCTGCCCTGCTTGATCAGGTAGATATGACCAATCGACAGCTACCACAGAGTGGGGCGAATGAAAACTTCCACGGCACCACGGTATGCTAACCAGCTAGGAGAAGATCACGACTGAGTCACGGATTTCTTCATTATGACACTCCAAGCAGCAAATACTTCAAGTATAGAATGCTGCATACATAAAGGTCAAATTGAGGTTGCTATCATCAACACCAACAACAACAACAACTGGCCTGCTGGCCCAATGGCAAGGCGCTTGACTACGATTCGTCGATATCAAGAGATTGCAGGTTCGATCCCTGCGTAGGTCAAATGAAAAGCAAACATCATTTTTTTTCGTCTCATCGATAGCACGAGTGGGGAGAGTATCATCAGACACAGGCCAAATTTGGCCGAGTCACATGCTGAGACCGCTTAGTAAATCAATGTGTTCATGAAATTAATCTATTGAATACGAGTAGAGCTTTTTTTTGCCTCGGGAGACATCGGGAAAGTATTTGGCACTTTCCAACATGTAGATGTTACCGTCGCTCACTACATATGATCATCATACGCTTATGAGTCGCCGTCTTTCGCTTATTGCGCAACTCTAATGCCATACGCAGCATACGGAAAGTTTTGGAGACTAGACCTCAGCTCCGCCATTTCATCCTCCGATACCATTCGTCCGTCTTCAGTCACCACAGGATTCTTAGCAACCCCCTCCACGGGCTCCCCATACCTCGGCACATTGCCATCCTCCTCCGTCCTACCCATAAGCACATCCATCTCCCTCCCTTTACAAACTTCCGCCAGCCCAGGGTGAGGCACCCAAACGACCCGCATACCTGCCTTTCTCGCTGCCTCAACCCCAGCAATTGAATCTTCAAACACTAAACACTCACTGGGCTCCAAACTCCGCTCTCCGCGGGCTGTCTCAGCATCGTTTAGTCTCTTTAGAGCAAGGAGGAAGATATCGGGTTCTGGTTTTTTCTTACTATCGGACATTTCGGGGTCGTCACCAAAGACGTGGAAGGCTGGGTCATCGAATGCTTCATTAATGACTGGGATGTGCGACGTCTTCAGTGCAAACTTTTGGTGGCCAGCAGAGCTAGCTAGTGAGAGGAGCACGGGAGGCGACGTTCTTGTTTTGAGGGCAGTAAGAAGTGTCTCGACACCTGAGAGCAGCTTGCTGTTCTTGAAAAGCTGTGTACTCTCTTTCTCCTTTGCTGACCATTGTGCGGGTGTGAGGGGTACTTGAGCCCAGTCTAGCAGGCGCTTTGTACCCTTTTAGAACAATGAGCGAAATGGAAGATGGCTTGAGGCTGAGCGATACGAACCCTTGTGCCTCTACTTTGCTGTGTAGCTTTGATCTTCCAAGGATAGTCTGGTCTTTCATACTCGCGGAGGATATTGTTGTAGATGTCCGTATAGATGTCCTCGGAATTGATGAGAGTGCCGTCTACATCGAAGATGCATGCGCGTACTGACGGCAGTGAGGCCATGGAGACTGTTCCGGCAATGTACCAAACTCTGACAGGGCGTGATCAGGGGGCCTTGTGTTCTGGCTCTGGGGCTTCAGCTTTGTGTGTGTTCTACTTCGAGTGTATGGCTCGGGGTTAACTCCGTCTACCCCGCGGGAACTAAACCACATGAGGATTAGCTTGTCCATGCCCAGCATATGAAGCATCTTGGAAGCAGTCACTACGACCGACGTTCAGTCTTACCATACAGCAGCTGAGTCTCAGCTCTGGGCGGTAGAGTAGAGGTGTCTCTTCTCATGTATCGATTTACTCTCCTCGCCAATTACCATTGGCAAACCTAATGCATTGGGACCCATATCTCCCACCACTCAATACACCATCTTGTAAATTTTATGTGCAGGAACTACAATCGGATGCGCCCAGATTCTTGTCGAGAGATAAGCCATCACGGGTTTACTTCCTCGACAGCCTGCAAGGCAATGTCCATCACGAGAGATCATCTCCTTTCGGCTACCTCCAGTATCGCTGCACCTTCCTGCTAGTCCACTCATACTCCACAAATCCGCTCTTTAAACGATTCCAGGCTTGAAACATCGAGAAACTACCGAGTGCATAATATCGTATGCATCGCTTCCCCTGTATCCAACTGCCGGTCAATCGTCCTCATACCGAACGTTCCTGAATACGGGATACCAATACATTCAAGTGGGTGTCTGACATGCATAGCAACTCCCTCTACCAGCCTAGTTCTACAATATTGAGACTTATCCTACTCCACAGTATATCGTGGGCGCTGTGCGAATGACTCAGCTCGTTGTCACATGCCACTGCGAGGCTGACAACTTGACTTTAGGTACATGGTGGCTGCATGGCGAGGGTAGTCAAATTTCTCTTCGCGAGAAATCTCCACTTATGCTGGGCTAGACTTCAGAAGACTTTTACGTGTAAGCAACCTGGCTAGTGCCTGGCGGCAGCGTATCTTGTTCGCAGATGTTCCCCACACGGGTCGATCAGCCACTGGCGGTTGTGTGTGCGCCACGTTATTTTCACTCCACCCTTCAAATTTGGGGGCTGACCTGGGGCTGTTATGTGTGGTAGTGTGTTATCACGCAGTTCACATCGGATGATAAGCTGCTCAAACCGCGGTGTCGAGTTGGTGGTGAAGGCTTCGGACTACCTCCACAACGGGTTACCTCTATCGGGCAACCCATCGCCGTCACAAGAATCGCTAAGACGCCTGCTACTGACCGCGCTGGGGGTGACGATACGTACAACCACCTGAACGATGTAACAAAGCGATTTTGCGCAGCTGATGCAGCTAGGAGACGACTCAAAACTGATACGGTATCGCAGGGCTGCGGCATAAGAGCGGCATAGCCAACCTGGTGTGATGTACGTAGCTATTCTTAGCGCTAGATCATTCCCAGTTCGTATGGCAACATCGTGAACCCAGGATCTCGTTGTAGGACTACGGAGAAGAGTCCGAATCGTCCCGCACGTTAGGCGCGCCATCGCACCAGCTACACGTTTGTCCAATGTCGGCAGTGTGTAACGAGCGAACGTGCTGCTAGACCCTGAGATCGCCAGATGACATCGCCCACGAGAGCGCCGGCCCATAGCGCTAGACTGCAGCGAAATCAATAGGAGAGTTTTCAGGGAGCTAACATGTATGCGCGGAAAATAGATTAAAGCTGGCGTTTGTAGTCAGGACGCTGATTGGCTGTGATAAGACCCTTTACTTATCCGGTAATACCAAGCAACGGGACACCTGCCTAAGCGAGTACTAACAAGATAGCGGTCCGTATGTTGTCCCTGTTTTTTCTTGCCTTGTCAGCCGCAATATGAGAAAAGTATACTATCGAAAAGATGCAGCTCGCGTGCTGATACGTGCAGGCAACGCCGCAGTCATGCAGCCCGATTGTCACCAATGTACTTACCGAAGTTGGCATACTGTACGGCCGTGATGGGGCATCGGTCTGATCAGGCGCGGCAGAGCATGGGCTGAGCGGTGGTCGAGGTGTAGAGATACAAGACGCTTATATACATCGTCTGCCTGGGATGCTATACGACATCCTGGGTGCTGTTAAACAGCCGGTGCGCCTTCTTGCACTCGGAACTTCGTCAATTGCATATACTTTCGTCGTTCGTTTGACTTTCCCATTGCGCCACAGATGGCGCAACATCACGCCTTGCGGCAGCCATTTAGCCTACTGCTCCTAGTACTGTCCCTGGTATGGTACGCTAGCGGACAAAGTACCGCGACACCCGACCTACCCAGCAATACCACAACTCCTGAACCAAAGGTAGGATGGAACGCCGAAGGATGTTACACAGACAGCGTCGGCCGTCGAACGCTGTCCGTAGGGATGGGAGTGGCCGGTGCTATGACCAATGCGAAGTGCAGAGACGCATGTCGAGCAGGTGGCTATGTTCTGGCTGGTACTGAGTATGCTGGTGAATGTTTCTGTGACAACCAGATCAGAAACAATGGCGGCCCTGCACCTGACGGCGAAGTAGGATGCAACATGGCATGCAATGGAGATCAGACTGAGATGTGTGGCGGCCCTGATCGCTTGACATTTTTCCGATTCTACACAGGTGGCGAATCAACCGTTTCGGCAACTGCTTCACCTACTGCTTCGCAGACAGCATCTGCGACCAAGACATCCAGTGCAGTCCCTGTTGCAACGGGACTCCCGGAAGGGTTCGAGTACAAGGGCTGCTATGTTGATGGACCCGGCTTCCGCATCGTCAACTATCAACAACCCGATGACCAAAGTATGACCATTGCCTCATGCTCCAATGCATGCGCGAAAGCTGGCTACGAGATCGCCGCTATGGAGTACAGTTACCAATGCTTCTGTGATAATACCGTAAGTAAAGTCAGGTCTATCGATGTACCAACCACTGACTCCCGCAGGTGAGAATGGGCGGCAAGCCTGCTTCTTCCGAATCAGAGTGCAACACAAAATGTGCTGGCAACCAAGATGAGACTTGCGGAGGCCCCAACCGAATGAGCATCTACTCAAGCCAAGATCCGTTGAAGGTCATCAACGCTCCGGCTCCTATCCAGAATGTGAGCGATTGGCAATACCAAGGATGTATTACC